ACCAAAAAATAGTTGTCAGATTGACGACAGTATCAAAGCAATAACAGTTTTTTTTTTAAACGTTACAGTAACATCGACTAACAAATTCATTGCTGTTTTTTTCGAGATGTATTTTGCAAGTTGACAGTTGTTGATAATCAGTGATAGTTAAGCAACTTTTTGCTCTAACTCTTTTTTTTCTTTTTTTGCTTTGCTTTAAAAAGCCATCAAAATTTTGGCAATTTCCTAGCCGCTATATTTGTTTATAACACTGTTGACAACCAGCAAAAAAAAAAGTATTTCTTTCAATGCCCTTTAGATATCTCGAAAAAAAAACTTTTTTTTTCTTTTAAAGCTAATATATCCAACATGAAGCGAAGCAAGTTGCAGGGGGAAACGATTATCAAATTTATTCACCAATAGCTTAAAAATTACTAGATTATATACTGAAAAAAAAAAGAGAAGAAAAGTTTCTTTTTTTTCTCTTAACAAGCATAAACACCGATAAACGCTAATCGTTTTGTATTTTACGAGGTGAGGTGGATTATAAAGACGGACGGACGGGACGGACGGACGGGCGGACGGAAGGACGGAAGGAGAGACGGACGGGGCTGACTGCGGGGGGAGGAAGATGGAGGACAACTGTGTTCTCAATTGGGTAACAGAGAAAATTCCAAAAATGAAAATTTTTTCGATAATCGTTTTTCGGCAAGCCAATAGATTCGGGGTCCACCTTGAAGAACTTTCAGTTTTCAACAATTTCTTGAAGGTCATCAGCAGTCACCAAAATGGTGAAGAACGACAATTTAATTCTTGCGGAACAACAAGAAGACATTTTGACAGCAAAAGCATTTTCTGTATTTGCTCGATTCTTATTAGTACACAATATGTATATACATATATTTGTTTATTTATACATATGTATCTATTTTTTGTTTCTCTTTTAAAAATATTCAAATTTTTACTAGAAAACATTTAAAGCTAATTTTTGTTTTATGTAATATTTTAAAGCAAAAACAAAAATTACCTTTTTTTTTTTAGTTTATATAAAGTATAGGCAAGAAAATGTATAAAAAAAATTTTTTTTTTGCTTAATAATATGCTTAGTAAAACAATTTAGAAGTGACAAAAGTAACAGAGGATTACTGAAAGAATCTTAACTTCTATATTACCAGTTTAATTCAGTAACAATATTACATATACATAACGGTATACAGTGAGTATATGAGGAAATTTGTAACGGTGCAAAAATGGCATCGGTAGTCAATGTTGAAGTCCCCCTTCACCATCACCTCTCTCCACAGTTGCCCACCCAACCCCAAAAAAGATTATGGTTGTTTTTGGTAGAAACGATTTTTCAATGTCATCCCATCCGAAATTTGCACCGTCTTTTTCCTTTTTCCTTTTTCCTTTCAATTTCTTTTCTTCATAGTTAAACCAAACATAACGCCGAGATGCCTAACAGAATGAAGAAATTTTTACAGTTACGTATGTATATATATATACGGCTGTGTATATCTGTTGAATATATGTGCCCATTTTGTTATGAGTGATTTTGATTCACCAACATTGAACTGTATTATAGAAATGAAAAGAGAAGGGGGAAAAAAAAAGAAGAATTTTTATTTTTATTAACAATGAAACAAATAAAGATTTTTACTATCCATAGAAGAACAAAACAAAAAAAAAATTTTCCTTTCGCTGAAAACAATAAGATAAATATGTTTGGAGACAGAGAAAAAAAAATATTAGAAAGAAAATTTTTTAAAAATCTTTTTTGTAACATACATAAAAATTGTTGATTTTGATCTTGTCTTTTTTCTTTCAATTTCATTTCATTTCATTTCGTTTCGTTTCGTTTCGTTTCGTTTTTTTTTT